CAAAGGCGTGGCAGACTCCGTTCTGCCTGAATGTCGGTTCCACCAGAGCCAGGGCCAGGGCGGGAGGTTTGTGTTTGGTCCACTGAGATAATGAAGCCGGTGTGAAGGGAGAAAGCCGGAGAGGCCACGCCACAGGCGTAACGCCCAGCAGGCACCGGAAGAGAGAAAAAGAGGGGCGTCAGAGTGGCCCTTCAAGGCCACACCTCCAACCACCTAACTTCCTCCCATGAGGCCCCGCCCATCACTGCCAGCCAGCTAACTTCCTCCCATGAGGCCCCGCCCTAATTATTCTGACCTGGCAACTGAGCTTTTCGTACACAGGCCTTGAGGGGTTCGAGACTCAGACTCCTGCATTTAGGACACACTCCCCAGGGGCCCCAGCATGAGCCTCAGGAGAATGTGGGATCTTGAGGTTTGCATCCGGTGCACATTTCCCAGGGATCGCCGTCAGGGAGACTCTGGAATGTTCAGTGACGGAGAGAACTCACTCCCTGGCAGGTGCCGACAGCTCAGAACTTTAGAGAGTCCTTCCTTTGACAAGAACGAGAGGGTAATTTCCACCCATGGACTTGATCGTGCCTTTTGGACAAAGCGAAAGGTTTCCACACTTCTCCTGCGAGTGTTGTTTCTGCTCACTACCTTCTGGGCAAGACTGAGCGGGATCCCCAAGCATCCCTGTGCAGCCCACACCCCATTCTGTCTTTTATTCCCAGCTCGGATTCGTCCGGCACGTCTGTTACAGAGCAGAATCCGGCCACACCCCACGCAGAATTCCCTAAGCTGTGCGCAGCGTGTCCCTCGTCTATTCGGGGAAGCCACCTTCCTGCCACTTTGGTCTTTTTCATCTCATTCGGCAGTGAGTGTCTCAGAACTTCCTTGATTGTGACAGCTTGCACCTCAACTTTGGGTCCCGGCTCTGGTAGACGGTAGGACACTTCACCTGCTTTCTTCCCCCTGTGGTTACACCCGGCTGATGGGCTCCAGAAGGAAACATCTCATTGAGGTCACGTGTCATGCTTTTTGTCACATGCTGTGGTCCAGGAGGCGCGTGGCCAAAGGTAGTGGCACCCACGACCCCCATCCTCTCCCGTGCTGTACTTGACTGCTTGCACATGACTCATGGACTATGTCCGGTCCCTCCAGGGTGAGTCTTCATAAAGCTCCCAGGGAGATCTGTCTCTTCCTCTCCATTGGTTACTATTTAGCGCTGCAGGCATTTATTTATTTATTCAATCCGTTGCTGTTCTGTTCTTCGTGTTTGCTTAAATTGTCCCATGTCAAAGGGCTACAGGCTTTGGGAACCATCTCCATCTTTTTTTCTGTGTCCCTGTCTCTTTCCAGTGCCTTTTTCAGGGTCTGTCACTTGCCAGGCTGGTGCTCTACCACTTGAGTTCTGCCCTGTGTTTTGCTGGTCATTTTGGAGATGGCATTTCTGGGGATTTTTTTTTGGGGGGGGGCCCAGGTTGGCCTCAAACCATGATCCTCCATATCTTGGCCTCCTGAGTAGCTGCGATTGCAGGTGTGAGCCACATATGCTAAGCTCTGAAGTCTCAGGGGTATTCAGGTTGGGTCTCTCTATTCTGGCAGGTTCCGTGAAGGGACCTTTTTGGATATGAGGGTAAAAACTGTTTGAGTCAAGTTTATACGAAATTTCCATTCTAAGGAGCAAGAGCAGGGTGGATCATTTTCCCACCTCATGTTTAGGATTTTTAGCTAAATTTTTATCTGAAGAAACGTTTATGTATATTTCAAAGTCTCACTAAATAGCTCAGGCGGGCCTTGAACTTGGGATACTCTTGCGCTGAGATTACAGGTGTGCAGGACTATGGCTGGCTCTGTATGAAGGTTCTTTTTGTTTCTGGTCAGTCCTGGGGCTTGAACCCAAGGCCTGGGTGCTAACCCTGAGCTCTTCTGCTCAAGGCCAGTACCCTGCCCTTCCACCACAGCTCCACCTGTGGTTTTTAGGTGGTCAGGCTTTGAACCGTGATTCTCGGATCTCCACCTCCTGAGTAGCTAGGATTATACGTGTGAGCTACAGTGCCCGGCTGGATTTTAATTTTGAGTGTGAGAATCGTAGGCCACGCCCATCCATGGTGAACACTTCTGGAAAGACCATTTGTCTGGATAGCTCCCTTGTCACCTACTTCTCTACCTTCTGGTAATTCTTCTTAGCTTTGGGGCCAGAAGAGCTGGCTTCTAGTCTATCTTTTTCTTTCTGCTTTCTTCTGCACCAGTCCTGGGGCTTTCACTGGGGGCCTGGGCACTGTCCTTGAGCTGTTTTACTCAAGGCTGGTGCTCTACCACTTGAGCCACAGCGCCACTTTGGGCTTTTCGTGGTTTAATTGGCAATAAGAATCTCATGCACCTGGGTTGGGAAAGCGCTTGCCTAGCATGCATGAAGCCTCAGCACCTCATCCACAGAAAAAGCCGCAAGTGGTGCTGTGGCTCACGTAGTGGAGTACTTGCCTTGAGCAAAAGCAGCTCAGGGACAAGCGCCTAGGCCCTGAGTTCAAGCCCCAGGACTGGCAAAAAAAAAAAAAAAAAGTCTGATGCACTTTCCTGCCCAGGCTGGCTTCAAACCTCAGCTTCCTGAGTAGCTAAGATGATAAGTGTGAGCCACCAGCGCCCGGCTCTTCTTTAAGAACAATAACTCTAATGAAACAAAACAAAACAAAAGTGTCCAGCTGGCTTGGGCTGAAGCTACACCAGGGGTCGTTACCGTTCTCTTGTGCCTCAATCAGGTTGAGAGTAAACCTTTGGTTCAAGCCCAGAAGCCACTTCCCAAGACTAAGCATCTCAGAATGACCCGATTTTTGCAGAAGGTAGGACGCACTCCGGGAGAGGGCGGGAGGCCGGTGGGTGGAGGATGGGCTAGTCTCCAACACTCCATGTGACAAAGCGAGTTCTCTGTCCACACCCGCTCCCCCTCCCGCCCC